ATATATATATATATATACACACGGACAAATATACTTATATACAACCTCAAAAATACACACTTTATTTCACACTAAAGGAACCAAAAACTCTGAGATAAAGAAGAGTTAATTCAAGAAAAAAAAATTTGGGGTAGAGAGAATGTGTGTGTGTGCACGCGCACACATTTAACGCGCACAATTAATTAACCGCGAAACCACATTTTCTCTGTCGTCCATCTTAAAAACATCGATGTATTATTATTATTTATTATTTAACGAGGGACAGCGAGAGAAAAGCGCGCGAAATCTGCTCGGTTCTCGATAAAAAAACAAAACACTTTTCTAACGTGTATATTAATGTACGTTCAGTCGTTTAATGCTGTTATGGTTGTTCTTATTTTGAAGGTAATGCTATGCTAACCGGGCGAGATCCGCTCTGACTCTGTGAACTGACCAATTACAGAGGACCTTAAAGTTTGCCGGAAGTTGCGTTCGTTTTAATGCACGTAAGTCCCGGAGAGGGCGTAGAAGGGGCAGCGGAGGACGGAAAAAGAAACACCACCGTCAGGAGTTATGCGGATGAACAAAACGAACTCACCCACTGTGAAGCACTTCCTGTGTGGACGACGAGCGGCGTTAAAAAGACAACAAACCGCGTTTAACGCCGGTGAGATAACGGGACAGCGGTGTGGGGACTGAACTCGGAGGACAAACTAAGTACGTTAAGTTTATGGTCTTCTGTGACGTCACTGTTGTTGTGGCCATTTAAACTTCGAATAGGGTTTTGGGTGAGGTTGAAAAAAACTACTGAAACTGAAACTAATTATTGTTGACGTTTGTTTCAGTAGTAGCCGTGACACAAAGACGAGTAAACAACAGGTCTGTGTTGTCAGTCAGTCACTGACAGAACAGACAGTTCTGGGGCTGAGAATGATTCAAAATTAATGTCAAAGTGATGACGTCAACGGCTAGTTAGTTTGGTTTTTATCAGCCCTGTCCGCGTTATAACGATAACGATACGACAGGACATTAATGGCTCCCGCGTTACATCATCGCAACCTTCGAACTGGTTTTCAGTTAGAAAACAGTTGAAACAGCGAACCCTGCAGTTATTAGACCATTAAAATTCAGCTTTAACTTCACGCGAATCATATCGTTACTCAACATTAGTGCAATAAATAGTTTTGGAATAGTATTAGTAGTACATTTTACGTATTAAAAATGTATTTCACTCTATTTCCTGGCTAGAAATGTGAAAAGTGTCTTTAAAATATATTTTTTAATATACAAATACAAATGTATTATAAAAGTATTCTAATACTTTTTTACTTACTCTATACTCAAATCAACAAGTTATATAACAATTATTTGTCTTATTTGACACCAGTCGCTCACCTGAACGGACGTCCTTTCTTTTGGCGACACGTCACCAGAACATTTTCGGATGTGACAGATGAGACCCCGGCACCAGATGTTGACCCACTGATACCCTTTGTCGTCAAACCACCTCTTCATCCATGTGTATAATTTTCTTCAAGTTTGATCCTCGACCTGCGTCCAAAAACGCTTACAGGTACAGAAGAGAAAATCTCAAATCTTCAGGTCTTGGATTTTAAAAATATATTATATATATGTATATATTTACTGGCTGCAATGTATAAAAAACATAATGGTGACAGAATGAAATAAAATAATTTTCTAAACTAATCCTTTCCGTCACATCAGGCTAATTTTGGCTGCAAACAGAGATGAGTTTTACAGCAGACCGTCCAAGACGGCGGACTTCTGGGGGCCGGACAACGAGATCCTCAGTGGTCAGTTGTTTGATAGTTTAGTCACCTGTGTACTACCTGTGTACAACGACTGACATCTTCGGGTTCTACTTCTGTTTCACAGGCCAGGATCTGGAAAATGGCAAAGAAGGAGGATCCTGGCTGGGAATCAGCAGGAGGGGAAAACTGGCGGCCATTACCAACTATATGGAACGCCAACAGAAACCAGACGCACCAGGAAGGGGTGAGAGAGAGAGAGAGAGAGAGAGAGCTGCAGTACAGGATGTGGCGTATGCTGTTGACTGAAGTTCAAGGTTCCAGGCGACTTTGTCTTCACAGTGTTCTGTCAAACAACAACTGAGAGACGAGCTCTGTTTGTGTGTATATATGTATGTACGTATATGAACAGTATATATGTATATATACATATATGTGTATGTATATATACATACTGTATATGTATATATTGAGAAGAGCTCTGTGTGTATATATGTATGTCTGTATATGTATATATTTGTATATATGCATGTGTATGTATGCCTATATATATGTGTGTGTATATATCTATATATATATATATATATATATATATATATATATATATATATGTGTGTGTGTGTGTGTGTATACCACTAGTAACTACTGTCCACTGCAGGGTTCCTAGTGTCCAACTACCTGACGGACAAAGACGTGGACAGTTACTCCTACATGAAGAAGTTGTCAGCGGACGGTCCACAGTACAACGGATTCAACCTCATCACGGCTGACTTCAGGTAAGTGAAGTCTACCTGGGGTCAAAGGTCATAGGTCAAATTAGGTCAAAGGTCAAATTAAAAGGACATCGAGGAGTCGTCATAGAGAGACTGAATACAGGAAAAGAGAGTGAATACAGGAACTGTCCTGTGACTCGAGGGTCACTGCAAGGTTGTGTCTGCTGACATCTAGTGGCAGCAACTGAAAGTGCAGCTGATGCACTCTGCAGTGCAGGGTAAAAGACAAACTGACAAACAGTTCTTCGCTATCATGTACCAGTGTCGTTCAAAGGTTGGCAGACACACCGGCACTGTGGAGGTCAGAGGTCATTGGTTAGACAGGTTAGGTGAGGTGCCTTGATGTGGTGAAACTGTGGTGGGTCTAATCTTCTTGTCTCACTGTGGTCTGCACGCAGAGCCAGAGAAGACGTTCTGTGTTACTATGGAAACAGAGGCGTTCCTGAACCTGTTCATCTAAAATCAGGTCTGTGCTGCCGCAGTATCCAAACCCTCAGTTTGGACCACGTCTCTGCACCCGACCATTTCTCTGCTGCTCTGTTTAATCCTGATTAACACCAGATCGTATCAATAATAATCTGACTCTTTCTCTTTCTCGTCCCGTTGTGACGTAAACGTGTCCTAAACGTGGTGTGCTCCTCAGCAGGAGTCTACGGTTTGAGTAACTCCCTGCTGGACACGCCGTGGAGGAAACTGCTGCAGGGAAAACGCCACTTCACCAGCGTCGTCAATGACGGGACGCTGTCCTGCGATGGGCTGGTGCAGGAGCTGCTGACGGTTCTCAATAATGAGGAGCTGTGAGTCACCAGCCACCCTCACCCATACTCACCCCCCTGACTCACCCATACTTAAAAATCTTCTCTTTAAAAAATATTATTAACGTTTACAATTACGGATGTTAGCGACATTATCGGGCGATATTAGCATAATTACATAATATGCCGATAATGAAAACCTTGTAACGCAATGACTGGGTTCCGTCAAATGTGTGATCTAAGAATAGTTTTGGGGAAAGGGCTGTATATTAAAGTGAAAGCCACGAGATGGCAGTATTGCAGCTCATTCAATGAATCTATTTTATTAATCAGGGTAATGTAGGTAGGATTCTGGTGCCAGCAACTCTTACAGCGGTTTGTACAGATACATATATATATTTATAGAAATATATTTATATAAATATATTTATATAAATATATATATATATATACTGTATAAATATATATTTATAGAAATATTTTTTTATAAATATTACCAGGCCTACTGGGTATCAGTTGATATCGGAATCGAAATGAAGTGTTTGGACAATATCGGCATATCGAATATTGGCAAAGAGTTAATATCGTACATCCATATTTGCGACATCATTTTATTCGTACATTTTAGACATGTAAAGAGTTTTGTGCAAATCAACGTCTTCGGAGATCTTCACTCATCCTCTGGTTGATTTTTTACAGGAACACGCCTGACCCTGAGCAGGAGAGCCACGGTCACTGGTACAGCAAGACGATGATCCAGGCCCTGTCAGCCGTGTGCGTCCGCTCACCTGACTACGGCACCAGGTCAGTGTCTTCATCATCATCATCATCATCATCATCATCATCATCATCATCATCATCATCTACCGCCGTCTCAGATCAGATGTTTGAACTGTATGAAAATGTTCCGACTCTTCTTCCCAATCAGGACAAACACAATCATCCTCGTCGACGCAGACGGGAACGTGACCTTCACGGAGCGAACCATGCAGAACTGTGACACCAGCGAATGGATCACAAGTTCTTACCAGTTCAAACTGGATGGTTGAAGGATGATGTGCCGGCAGCTCCACACTGGCACCTACAGCTGAACTTTGACATAGAAGTTTTTTTTTTGTTTTTTGTTTTAACCATCCGCCTTCATGTCTGCCTCCAAGTTTGCACAATTTGCATTTTGCTGTCTTTGATTTGGGTGTGTTTTGGTAGCTGACGCTGTTAGCAAGGTTAGCCACGGTGAAGACTGGCTCTTAAAACAAAATGCTACAAACTAGTAATGGCCAAACATGCCGCTAATTTATGACATGAATGACCTGCAGCTTACGTTATGTTAAAAAACATTAAGAAAATATAACATTTTGGGGAAAAAAATTAAAAATTGTCATCAAAGTTTTTCAACATCTTAACAGAATTAAGGGTTTTGTCAAAAAATTTCAAAACGCTATATTTTGATGAGAAACATGCAGGACAGATACAATTTTGAACATCTGACCAAAAATTATTTTGCTGAAATAAAAAAAATTCCCAAAAAAATGTTTCTTTGAAAAAATATTTAGAATTTTTTTTAGGGTTTCAGAATTTTTTAAATTATTTTATTATAAATTTGCTTAAATAAATTATTTTGCTTTTTCTAAAAACTTTTCAAAAACTTTTTTTAAAGTTTTTGGGGAAAAAAATTCCCAGAAAATCTTTTTGAAAAAATATTGACTTTTTTTAAGATTTCAGATTTCTTCGTAAATGTATTTTATTATAAATTATTTTGCTTAAATAATAAATTATTTTGCTGAAAAATTCCCCAAAAATGTTTTTCTGAAAACTCAATTTTTTGAAGTTTTTGGAAACTTTCAGAACAAGATATACATCCAATCTGCAACTAGTTGTTATTCAATCAACAATTCAAATACTCTGTTGGATGCTGTTCAACTACATCTACGTCACTGAAACGTCAAGCTTTCAGGATCGATGCTAAGCTAACAAAAACAATCGATATCGCCAAAGCACATTTCTCTTAACGGACGACGGTTTTAACCAAACAAAACAAATTTCTCAACTCACCGACACAAGCTTTCGTGGGTTTGACGTAGAAGTTTCGAGGAGGACAGCTTCGTCTGCCGGTGAAGGCACGTTTGACGTCACAGGATGAAGTTATTGACTCGTTTGTTGCCTGAGAAATGGCAAACCCCAACCTCTGTTTCCGGTTCGTCTCTTAACCAACGTTATCTGGTTACATGAACGTAGCGGGAAACTTTATTTCAATTAACGCACATGTTTAAAAAAAAAAAAGAAATTTTTTTTTGGGAAATATAATAAAAATTAAAGTTTTCAAACCTGGAGTTTTTTTTTGCCATAACATTGACATGGATAAATGCGCCATCTGCTGGAATCAAGCGAAAGTGCAATTACCAATTTTGACCGAGTTCTCTTTGTGACAATAGTTAAAATAAAATTAAAATAAATCCCACATTTGACGGAGACTTCAGCTCATGTGAGGTGTTTGACAGCTTTTATTCAAAGGTGGAGGAAACATTCGAATAATTTTGCAAATGAAAAGCAACATTTCGTCCATTTACAGGTATTTACAGACGCACTGGCACTTGGATGCACTTTGGGAGGAGAGGGGGAGGAGATGGGGTGAGAATGGAATTAGTGGGAACAGAAAAGGTGAGAACACACACTCTCACTGTTAAATATTCTCTGCATGCTTCAAAGAACGGGAATGTCATGATGTTAAAGTTCTGGACTAGGAAACGGTTTGAGACCAAAAACAAACAAACAAAAAATCAAACAAACAGAAAGTTAATCTAAGTGCATCTGTGTGGACCAGGTGAGTCTCCCGACTCATCGTTCTGCTGCTGGTCCTCAGCTCTGTCTACAAGTCAGTCAAACTTTTCCTCTTTCTACACTTTGCTTTTGAAGAAAAGAAAAGAAAA